ATAATAAAAACTGGAATTACGATTGAAATGAGAAACCTGTAAATATTCCAATTGACCTTTGGGCAGATCCTCCACAGATGTTGGCAGGATTCTGGTCTTTGTGCCAATTTGATCGTACAACGGAAATAGAAATTACAGAAGGAATAAAAGGAATGCAGAAAAAGAAAAGAAGAAACAAATAAGAATATTAAAACTGGAAAGGTTGCTCTGGAAATAAATTGGGCACCACTTCGTTGTATGAATGCGGCTCTCTTTCTGAGGTCCCCTTCTTCCCCTTTTATAGAAATGGAATTCTAACGATTATAATTGAAGAGGGTGGACTTTGAGGCAGAATAATCAGGGAGTAGTGGTCCACTATTTGGGACTTGGAACTGCTTCTTTCACGTGCATTTGAAGTGGGGCGTTTTTGCCTGCATGACGGTCGTCACAAGGTGTGACGGTCGTCACCCGTGTGACGGTCGTCATGGAGCTGTGACGGTCGTCACAACAGCAAAATCAGCATCCTGTGCTTTTCATGATGTTTTCATCCTTTTTTCGTCTATATTTCATCTGAGATTGCTTCTTTTCTTCGTATTGCCTTGTTTAGACGTGATCATTAAATACCTGCAAAACATCAGACAAATAACACGGAAATAACCCGAAATCGGATCGAAAACAGTTAAACTTCAGTTAAATTATGCATCAAAATATATATACGATTTCGTGTTATCAGTTTCTATGTCCTCAAATGTGGCTATGTATGTAGAGTATTCTCAAGTCGAGACTAAGGAGTACTCGCATTGCTGTAAGGATATTGGGATGGTGTATTAAACCACTTTTTTAGTTTCCTTTATGTTTATTGTTGTTGAATTGTTAAGTCAGCTCATATGTTAGTTTTAATAAGGCTATAATATTTTGACATCGGGGTTGAGATTAAGAATTTTCACATTGTTAAGTTTGATTATATGTTTTCATCAAGTACTCAATTATGAGAAGTTTTACGTCACTTATGTTAATGTGATGCACTATTTGGTTACATGAAATACTTATTCTGCAATATATGTTTTTAAAAGAAAAAATTATTGGGGTTTAGGGTCACTAATTGCTTAATAATATTCACTTTCTTCACCCGACTCATCATCAAAAAAAGTGGCATCATACCTTTTCTCTATTTTGAAAGAAAATTTGGATATTAAGTCTAGATATGTCCAAAACCTTCACATTCACGACATTGAATTCCTGTGGCCTTGTTCTGTCTTCCCTTTTTTTCCTCAATGTTAAAAGTTGTCACATTTTGAATTTTGAAGTTGATTGTCTTTGACATTAGTAGAAACATTATTCCCATACCTCTTATCAAGTCTTCTCATAACCTTGCTAAGTTTTTTTGCAAGCAGGGCAATGAATTCATCAAGATCTTCATCAAAATCACATTCTACTTGGTCGTCTATCTTTAGTATCCATTTCAAATGTCACACCCTTACTTTTTTCTAGGATTTATCAACAATGGTTATCTCAAACGTGATTAAAGATCAAATTAGTTCATTAATTTTCATCGTGGAAACATTTTGAGCCTCTTCAATGATTGTAACCTTGATGTCAAACCTCTTAGAATTTTTTTTAGAACATTTCTTACATGTTTTTCTTCAGTCATCTTTTCACCAAGAGTAGAGGAATTGTTAGTAATGTCACGAAGACGAACATTGAATTCCAAAACACTTTCATCCTCACACATCGTCAAGTTTTTAAATTTTGTAGTAAGGAGTTGAACTCCTGACATAAGAAACTTTGGATGTACCTTCATGAACAACTTCAAGAGTTTCCTAAACCTCATTAACACTAGTGTGATTATTAATGATTTTAAAGATATTTTTGTTAATTCCATTTTAATAACATTAAGAGCACAAAAGTGTCCAAGCACAACTTTATCTTCAGCGGGTATCCAAAATTTTTCGAGCTTCCCAAATTCAAAATTATCTTCAGCTACGGTCTTTGGTGGAGTCCATTCATTGATCAAACTTGTGTGTGAATTTTTCAAATAGTGAAAGGAAGTCCAAAAATTCAAATAGCCAGTGATACACGACACCTTTTCTTAATACTCTCATTGTTCAGTGTCTTTTTCTTAATACTATTGTGATTTTTCACCTAACCCCTGAATTCGAGAAGCACTCACTTCCACTCAATTACTCTCCCAAGTGTTTACAAGAAAACAATTATATTTTAGGTGATTGAAATCACAGTTGTAAACCAAATACTCTATCATTCTAAAATAAGAAAGATTCTCGAGATGGAGTATTACACAAGTAAACACAAAAGACTCTAGTAGACAAAAATACAACACTCTAATAATTTTTAAAAACATTGGTGATTCTCAATCTGGAAATTTTACCCCATACCCCTACACTTATACCCACACCCCTACACTAAAAAATATTGGACCAAAATACCATTGTTTAAATATTTATAATTTTAGAAAAATTTTCACTTTCACTTCATTTCCATTTCAACACTTCCGGAGCACTCATTTTTCACCTACAAACCAGAACTCTTCCAACAAGTCATCCGGAAAACATTTTTTGACCTGCACATATCGGAACTCCAATAGTAAGTCTTCCGGTTTGATGGATTTTTTGGTTTGTTCACCGGAAGACTTTATGTATGTCTTCCGGCTTGTAGTTATTTTTGGTTTCTTCACCGGAAGACTTAATGCATGTCTTCCGATTCATAATTTTTTGATTTTGGTCACTAGAAGTCTTTGATTAAGTCTTCCAGAACACACGTTTTACGTTTGGTTCACCGAAAGTCTTTGATCAAGTCTTCTGGTTCATGTTTTTTTTTTAATTTTTAATTTTTAATTATATTTATAAATTTATTTTTTTGTCAGTGGTGCGCACACGAGGCAGAGATGGTAGAATCCCTCGTGGACTAGGATGGGGCGAGTCATCGAGAGTGGCTGAAGAAGAGCATTTTGATGCATCTGCATCAGCATCCGAGTCTGTTGGATATCTAGGAGGATTGTATGATACCTCGCTTTTAGTTAAGTACGAACATCATGTTGCTAGACATATATGGTTTGGTGAGGTAAGTAAACAAAAATTATTTAATATTGAATAGAATTCGAATTTTTAATATTGAATTTTATAATATATTTACTTTTATTTGTTTTCAGGAGAGAGGGTCGAAGAAAAAGTTAAAGGTAACAGGACATGACTTGAAGTTGATTCAGAGGGTTCCACTATAGCTACCCAGAGAGATGGAGGGCTGGATATCTAGGTCTGGTCTAGCTTCACTCCAGAGAACCAGTTTAACAAAGATAGACACGAAACTAGTTTCCGCATTTGCAGAGAGATGACATCTATAGACATCTTCATTTCACATGTCGTTTGGTGAGATGACGATTACTCTAGATGACGTATCTTGCCTGTTTCACTTGCCCATCAGGGGAGTCTTCTGGAGCCCTCAAGATATCAGTGAAGCGCTTGTTGTTGAGTGGGTTGTTGATTATGTAGGAGTGTCACATAGAGTAGTACAACAACAAGTCTGTGACTGCAGGGGTTCCTACTATAAGTTGGAGTGGTTATATGATCAATTCGTAGAGCACAAAGCTGCATCTATATGGGATTATGCCACTAGAGCTTATTTGCTGATGTTAGTGGGTTCCACTATTTTTACGGACAAAACGCTTACGCTTGTCGAGGCACGATACCTCTCACTATTTATAGACTTGGATGGCTTATCAGGATACAGTTGGGGAGCAGCTGTGTTGGTTACTCTTTATAGATATCTCGGAGATGCTTCCATGTTCAGTTGTAAGCAGCTTGGTGGTTATCCGACTCTCCTACAAGTATTTATTTTAATTTAGTATATTTTGTTTTAATTAATTTTATCTAGTATATTAATTTTATTTATCTAGTTTATTATGTTATAATTAATTATTTTAAATTTAGTAACCATATTAATTTTGTAACAGTGTTGGATTCATGAGTATTTTCCAACACTTGGAAAAAGAGGAGAGAACTGGATACCAACTAATAATGTGGGTCTCCCTCGAGCGATGAGATGGTCCTATAGGCAAGGTGCCTTAAAGGTGGATGACTTGCAACCTATTCTGGACGAGCTGACACCTGTCGATGTCATATGGCGCCAATTCGAGAATCATAGAGTATGGCGTCAGTTTGATGAGTTATGTCTCTATAGGGGGTGTCTGAGGTGGGGTGACATTATTGTTCCATACTTGCCTGACAGATGTATGCGTCAGTTTGGATACAGGCAGTATGTTCCACATCCACCTCTTGATTCTCGAATAGCTGGTGATATTGATGTTGACTAGATTAGTTGCCATCAGAGCGTTCAGGATGTGATTCGTCCGATAGCACCGACCACCACCCCATATGAGACAGATGATGGGTATCTTGAGTGGTATTATCGTGTTTCGCATCCTCGTCTGGTACCACCCAATGTTAATGCGACATCAGAGATGCCAGTTCCTGTATATGAAGCAGGACCATCTGATCCTATATTGGCTCGTATGTCTTCATTGATTCATCGTTATCTTCAAAAGGCTGGTGCTGAAGAGGATGACCCATAATTTGCTGATTTGTTCGAAGCTTTAGATCTTGGTCGATCACAGTGACTTATATTTATATTTATGGTTATATGTTAACTTTTAGACTCATTTGACCTAATTGGTTTATGTTCATGTGTTAACTTTTAGACTCATTTGACCTAGTTGGTTTATGTTTATGTGTTAACTTGTAGTCTGAATTAAAAAATGAATAACATAATTCACGATTCATGTTTTGAAATTAAAAATGAGTAACATAATTCACGATTCATGTTTTGAAATAGAAAATGATAACATAATTCACGATTCATATTTTGAAATTAAAAATGAATAACATAATTCACGATTTGTGTTTTGAAATTAAAAATGAGTAACATAATTCACGATTCATGTTTTGAAATTAAAAATGAGTAACATAATTCACGATTCGTGTTTTGAAATAAAAAATGAGTAACATAATTTATAATTCATAATGCGTTGGTAATATAGGCGTAAGTTGTTGCCAATATTGTAGACGTCCTACAAATCCTATCATCCAAGATGTTGCAGCTGGAGAACGAAACTTCTTCCAATCTACTGTCATTGGTGGCAATGGAAACCCTTCTTTCATGTTTACCTAAATAAAAAAAATAATCAAAATATTAAGTAAAAACAACGAAAAAAGAATTAGGTTTAATCGCATTATCTAAAAACAACTAAGTACCTGAACCCAATGATTTCTGTTTACAAAACCAATGCAGTAAATTGATACATTTGGTGAAAATGAAGTTGTCATAGGGAAGAAAGTCCAGCATTCAATTCCTAAACAGACAAGTACAACATTATAACGATTCGCTATCACGTAACCCATATCTGGTAGAGGTAACCATTTATGTGGTGGTTGAGGACCAAATTCCTCTATCATTAAAGATTCTCTCAATACTACTAACTGATCAGTAAATAAATTGGCATACAAACTTGATCTTTCATTATGTATTATTTCCAACCCCAAGTCTCGACGAACCATTGGCCAACCATCTTCACCATATCCATGCAATGAAGCAATGACTCTAAATCCACAATTACCATCTGATACAACATTAACTACATCATTAGTATATGACATGATGTGATTAGGAAACTGAAGGATGAACTGCTTAGATGACTGTGAAGATTGTGATAATTTCAACTTTTTCGAAGCCTGTGATGGTTGAGATTTCTTTTGTGAAGACTGTGATAATTTCAAATTCTTCGAAGTTTGTGATGGTTGAGATTGCCTCTGTGAAGATTGAGATGTTTGATCAACATACTCGTGATACGAAGGGTCTCTATAAACATCATACCTTACTGGTTTTTTGTCTTTTTTCTTGACTCCCCCTTTAGTTTTTATTTTCTCAGGTGGTGGACACATAGAAGTCATTGTGGGGAAGGCAAGTTCAAAAACCCTACCTTTTAATGCCCTTTTCCCAACAACATCCAGTGACTTAAACCTTTTCCATAACTCATCTATTGCATTACTCATATCCACCTCTGAGCCATCATCTACGTCTTCGTCCAACTTAACTTCCATACTTAGTTTTCTCCAATGAACATGCACAACATCTATTGGTATCGGTATAGCATCAATTCTATATCCTGTTAACTCACAAGCACAAGGTAATTCGTAGGTTGTTCTAAGAGTAGAACGACATATTTCCTTGTTAGTTCCAACATAATCAACTCGTTTTAACTCTTCAACAATGCGTCTCAATGCATTTCAAGACACTGAACCACGTAAATTATTGTAAAATGGACTTACGTGGGCGTGCTCAACTTTATAAAAAACTCTTTTGAAACATGGGTGTGCTCAACTTCATAAAAACTCTTTTGAAAAGAAGCTCTAATATTGCTCAATTGTAACTTTAAGTTGTCATTCACAGCCTCCCAATATTTGACCATGTCACTAATACTGTTCCCCAACATTTTCTTTAACTTCCAATGAGCAGACTCAACCCTAAAATTAATACATATTAAAACTATTTTAAATTAAAAAAAAAAACAATTTAGAAATACTAAAAATAAATACATACCGATTAGTCGTGGTGTTACCCAAATGTAGCACTCGATTAATCCATGCTCCAACAAATCTTTGTCTATGTGGTGTCAACCATGTATCCTTCACATAATCAATAAATTCATTACATTCAACACACGCCTGCTCAAGTTGGTTCAACCTTTGATCATACTCAACCTCATCACTAGCCCATACAACATCCGTCCATAATTCGTCAATTTTCTTTTGCATGTCACTAGCCACATATTGTTTCCGTTTTGCACCAACATTCTTGTTGATATGAAATCGACATAGCAAATTGATCGACCTTGGAAACACAATTTCAATGGCTTTCATCAAAGCAAGATCTCTATTTGTCAAAATCACTTGTGGACACACCTCTTTCTTCACAAACTATTGTTTAAGCTTATCTAGCACCCAACAAAAAGTCTCAGTCTGCTCAGACTCAATATAGGCAAATGCGACAGCAAAAGTCAACTCGGTTGATGTCATGCCAACAATTTCAAACAAAGGTTGCCTATATTTGTTTGTCTTGTAAGTGTTGTCCATAACTAACACAATAGGAAAAATATTCAACAACTTAACTGAATCTGGATGAGTCCAAAATATATCTCTAATAACTTCAGAGTCATCTCTTTTTCTACTCCAATAAACATAACCTGCATCCTCAATAAGCTTAAACAAATGTTGTAACTCACTTATAGGACCTCTTATATTTTTTCTATCATACTCTTCTGCTTGTATATTTGCGTGATCCGAGTGACATTATCTGGATCTTGCTCTTGTAATGAAAGCAATATATGTCTAGGTGGAACCTTTTTCTTTGTCAAATCAACAACATGTTGCTTCTGATCCACTGTCAACCTACCAACAAATGTGTGACCTTCTAATCTATCAGGTAAATCATGGTTATGAACTCCACATTTTACATCAATCTTCCATCCAGATCCATCAGTAGTTGGAATCTATCTGATTTTAAATGGACATCCATATTTTTTCGTCGCACTCTGGGTTTCACTGTCATTATCTTTGTGTTTTCCTCCTTTATCACATCCAAATATTAATTTGTTACTTCTTCCTCTCTTGCCTGTTTTAATATCTGAACGAGTGATGATAACCATTACTTTATTTCGGATTCCGATCTCTTTAATCCATCGTATCACCTCTTCTCGTGTACCAAATCTTTGAGTAGTTGAAAAAACATCAGACGTATCTACGCATATCTGGTCTTTATCGCATATTTGTAAAGGAATTTCTGAACCTGCATAAAAAAAGTTGAAATTAAAAAAAAAATAAATACAAATGCAAACCGGAAGACTCAGAAAAAGAGTTTCGGTAGCCAAAATTAGCAAACCGGAAGACTTGTAAAAAGTGTTCCGGTACACTTTTTACAAGTACCTGAACTCTTAAGAAAAGTGTTCCGGTAAACTTCTACAAAAAAACACAAACCAAAAGTCTTTAATAAAGTCTTTCAGTACATAATTTGTGTAAACCGGAACTCTTTGCCGAAGTCTTCCGGTTTGTGTTTTGCTGCATGCCGGAAGTCATTGTAAAAGCGTTCCGGTAAATTCGATTGTAAAATTCCTCGGAAGTCTAAAAATCTGAAACAGTAAAAAGTGAAAACAAATATAATATAATAAAAAATATTCAAAGATAAAATTGGTATTTTTTTAAAATTGTAGGAGTATGGGTACAAAGGTAGGGTATGGGTAAAATTTTCCCTCAATCTAGGAGAACCATCTCATTTAACAGCAAAAGTGATCTAATAAAATATTTTTCAAAATTATTTAATAAAATCTTCTTTAAATTTTTTTAATTAAATCATATCCAATCAATATCTTCTTCAAATTAATTTGATTTATATATGTGAGGGATAGTTGTCCTTTGTTTTTTAATGTATAAATAAAAATTAAATGTTTTATATTTTATTTATAACTAGTAGAAGACCCGTGCGTCCGCACGGGTATGAGGAAAAAAATGAGTAATATCCTTGCTTAACACATCCAAAACAAAACACTGTGGATAATAATAAAAAAGCATACAATATGAGCAAACAGATCTTATAATAATAAAAAAGCATACAATATGAGTAATATCCTTGCATATATACTTGCATACAATATGAGCAAATAGATTTGATAATAATAAAAAAGCAAACCAAAACAAAGTTGATCAACATATGCCTTAACACATCCATGTTAGTCCCTTCAATAAAGGCATACATACTTGCATAAATCAAACAGGATATCCTTGCTTAATACAGAAGCAGACAGCAAAACCTTATGCTACCATAGGCAACAACCAAAAGCAGTCTAAAGCCTTGCCTTATTGACAGTCAAAGTGATTTAACAAACTCAAATTAAAAAAACAACTTTTGACAGAACCAAAGTAGTTTCCTAAACATAATAATGTTGATGCTTTTAACAGGTTTGCCATGATAAATCAACACACTTGTCCAAATGAGAGGTTGCAACCTCAAAACAGTTTAAGACAACATAGATACAACCATAACTATGTTGATCATCAGCACCTCATATGAATCATCTCAACATTGGACATAACCATCAAACAAACAGAAGCCCTAACTCTAAAGGTCATCAACTTAATGCAAGCAATAGAGATTTGGACGAGCAAATCTTAAAAACAGATTTAAACAGAAAAGTTGCAGACTCAACATTCAAACTCAAAGTAGGATATCATGAGTTGGCAACATTCAAACTTATCCAACAAACTGTTCCATTCATACACAATAAACAGTTGCTACTAAACAAAAAAGTCAGTTATAATTCAAAATTTAATCTGAGTCGTCATTCTCAGTACAAAAATTCCTACAATAGAGAGCATCAAACACAGCAAAAACAACAAAATTGCTTGATATAAATGACCTATGCAAAAATCTTCCTAGTTATAAAAAAATGGGATTGTTAAATTAGTGACCTTCACTGTTATCACACTCTTTGCTCTTAGCAATTTCTTTTAAACTGGTCCATGATTTTTTCCGTCTTTTGCTCGCAGTGCTCTGAGTATTTACTCTTGCAGACATGCTTGGAGTTTCAAACGTGTTCTTGGACACGAAATTGTTTCTACTTCTCTTCTTTGCTTCTAACAATGTTGGTGTACTTGTACTAAACGGAGTTTTCAGACCCTTCATAAGGGTGACGTCCTTAACTACAACTTCTGAACCAACAGTGTGTATTTCACCACCTTCATCTTTGCTTACCATGTGTTTCTCTAATTTTAAAGATTTGTGTACAATTGGTTTTGCAGCGGGCATTGATTCTAATGATGGTTTATCTTTTGTCGGGCATATTTTTTTCAAATGTCCCTTAGTGGTACCCCTCTTGATATTCTGATGTGAACAGAAATGGCACTTGTACACGACATTGTTTTGGGCGATGTTGCTAAACTTCTTTTGCCTGTGTCTGACCTTTGATCTATTCTTCTCAATTCGTACAGTTGAATTAAAGTCGGGATGAAGAACAATTTTGCACCTGCAGAGAAACCAAACAATGATTAACATGTTTTATGAATCATAGGAAAACTCCAAATATCAAAAGCTTAAGGAGAACCTAAGAATAATATATGATTTAATATTCAAACAAATAAAAAAATGTTAGTAAATGAATTAAGACATTTTAAAGCTACTGGAATTGTCCATGGTTATCAAATTGAGATTTACACCATAAATCAAAAGATGTATTTTCCAAATTGAAATGAAATACAATAAGATCCATGACACATAAAAACCTAATAAAACCACCTAGTAGGCTACATGAACTACTGTGTCATAAATAAATTCTACTGATAAACATTTCAATCAAAATATATGTTAATGGTTTGATCTATAATTTTCCTTGGTATCCATTTGACTGTAACTATTAGTGCTTCTACCGCCGCATGCAAAAACCACCTAAAAGTAAAACAACACTAATCATATTTCTACCATGAAAGCTATATCCCAACCATATTTCTACCATGAAAGCTATATCCCAACTTTCTCACTAATGATTTCATATCTAATTATATCTTTGTACACACTAATCCTTGCATGAGTAGTACATAAGCTGAAACTGCTTATCAAGTTCATGTGTCTGCATTCTAATTATATATTAGATAAGATTCATGATGAGGAGTATAGGTGATCCATACAAATATGACATTTTGAAGTAAAAATATGTAACATGTGCAAAAACATAAGTTAATATATCTTATACAATTTACAAATGTCAAGTTGGTAGGGTAATAAAAGCTAGCTAATCAAAGAGAACATTTGTTCTTACTGACAAATGCTAACAGATTCACAGTTCATGCAAATTTCGGGCATCGTGATAAGCAAACGTGTTGTGTGCCTTATCTCGAAACCCATCCAATACGATTGCAAATGCATCATACGTAAGTGTCTACACATATACATTGGACATTGTTCCATCCAATAATCATAACCTACAATTGTCAATAAGAATGTGAACAGTTGTCAATTTCTTCATTAAACATATCTTGTTATTAAATTAAACATTTTAATTAAGAATACAGAACAATTGGACTGTGGTATGCCCTGGATATCACAAGGCACCAGCTTTTATAGAAGGAAATTCTAAATATATGCCTTAAATCTTTTGTTAATAGAGAAAAAAGTTTAGATTTTCATGAAGAATCCAGAAAAAATGACCAGTGGAAGTGCATGGACGGCAACCAAGTTCATCCAGAACACTACAAAATTTTCATTTTCACTCATTACCAGTCCTTCAAAAATGGTGGATAATAAAAATACAGAATCTAATGCACTTTATGCAACCAATATTTAGAATTTCTATGCATTTGTCTGAATAGATACAAGTTACATCAATGCATGTCAACATTCAACAATCAATTGATATTTGTGTTTTATGTTCGCACCACATACATTTTCCAATTCCGGTATAAAAACTCACTTATTGTAGTGTATGTTGAGACAGATCAGTAGTTGCAATCATCACACCAGCAGCAAAGGAACCTAGCTCTAGACTTAATCCCAACTTATCACTACACTGAAAATATACAAATGCAATTAGTTAAAAAAAGTAGTGCTTGACAGGTAACAGTAAAGTAATCAAGCTGCAGAACAAACATATACTATTTGGAGACAATTATGAGATACATAGATGTGTAACTCACGCCAAAAAAATGGTGCAAAAGGCATTTTAAACATAAAAATAGAAAAACAAAGCACGACAAGCTTGCACATACAAAAGGAGAATGTAAGTTACACCTGAGACCCTTTGAAAATAAGGTGAAGTACTGCAAAGGAACAATATATGCACATCTTTTCTGCTTTGTAAGAACATATGAAAAGTAAAGCATTACAAAGAGAACTACAGAAATTCAGGCATGTGAAAAATAAGGAAGAGGACAAACCCAGGCTACAAGCAAGCAGAATGCAACAGCCGCCAGCTGATAAAGTTCATTTGTCTGCACAGACATGGTTTTTATTCAACCAAAAGAACAGTGACAAAAATGAATTGCCTTAAGATTGAAACAACTAAAGAACCAATCTATAAATTTCCAATAAAAATAAATTCTTCCATGGGTGGGATTTCTCATTAAAGAGGGATAATGATACTAACCTGTGATGATAGGCTTATCATCAATTTAAGAAATCACGAAAGGCAAGTGCGAGACAATATTTAAAGAATGGAGAGAAATGCAATCAATGTCACCAACCTGGATTAGGAAAGGAGTGTCAGTATTAACAATCATATTTCGTATTAGATAAAAACTCTACAGTATATGGCTATATGCTCAGTAAAATCCAAATGAACGCAAAATGGATGAGAGGTGCATTTGAGTATCAATTAAGTAGAAATACAAAAATTCAATAACTATACTTTTAAGTTTTAAACATATAAATTAAGTATAACTTTTATGAAAAACTTATTAATAATCCCATTTTTTAACAAAAAATGCATGACAAGTAAATCATCTCCTGGAAAAATGGGTGAAAACATAAATATAAATGAGATTCTATCCTCAGATCAATGCATTTGAGGTATATAATATGATTAATATTCCGCCTGAAGCCTCCTCGACCACAATTTGATTATATTTTATCTTTTATGTAGCCGCTTAACTAAGTTGTTGATCCAAACAGGGTCTAAATGTTGTTTCCAACAACATAAGAATCAAGAACCGAGCATATGAGAGAGATATAGAAAAACAACCTCTGTAATACAAAAACTACAGCGAAAAATCTAAGAACACAAAACCAAACCTTAAGTTACATACAATGTGATAATACCAAACCAAAAACTACAAAATCGGTGAAACAGAAAATGGTCAAAAGAAAACGGAACGGAGAAGACAAAACCAATCATAAAGTAGCAGGGGAAGGAAAACCGTTGTCGACAGCGAGGTTAATCAAAATAAATTCCAATTCATTAGGAAGGTCGTGAGATGAGGAGTAAGAATATGGGTTTGGTTTGTTTATTGGAGGTTGTGGTGGCCGTATAACGTGGAGAAAGGAGCGGCGGCGATTTAGGATTTGTGGAGGAAAGCAGAGTAAACTGAAAGTGAGAGAAAACTAGAGGTGGTAATTAAATCCATTAAGGCAAAATCCATCCAATCCATCCATCAAAAAATCCATCCAATCCATCCACCACACAAAAAATAAGTTAATGGATTTGATTAAATCCATCCATTTATATGCATGGATGGATTCAATCCATCCAACATATTTTAAGGATCCAATGGATTATTTTTATTTTCGTTAGATTTATTTTTTTAAAATTAGATTTTTTTAAAAATAATTAAAAAACTATATTTTTTTTCTGAAAAAAAAATTTAATTTTTTTGAAAAAAAATCTGTTTTTTTTTTCAGAACAAAAAACTGATTTGTTTTTTGAAAAAAAAAACCGACTTTTTTTTTGGAAAAAAAATCAGTTTTTTTTTTCAGAATAAAAAACTGATTTGTTTTTCGAAAAAAAAAATTTGTTTCTCGAAAAAAAAAATTTTCTAGAAAAAAAAGCCGACGTTTTTTTTGGTAAAAAATCGGTTTTTTTTCAGAATAAAAAACTGATTTGTTTTTCGAAAAAAAAAATAAAATTTTTTCTCGAAAAAAAACCGACTTTTTTTTTGGAAAAAAATCAATTTTTTTTTTCTGAAAAAAATCGGTTTTTTTCAGAATAAAAAACTGATTTGTTTTTTGAAAAAAAAAATTTAGAAAAAAACCGACTTTTTTTTTTGGAAAAAAATCAATTTTTTTTTCTGAAAAATCGGTTTTTTTTTTCAGAATAAAAAACTGATTTGTTTTTGGAAAAAAAATATTTATTTTTACGAAATTAAAAAAAAAGTTGGATGGATGGATATCCATCCATTAAAAATATGTTAATGGATGGATTGGATGAATTTTATTCTTAATGGATGGATCGGATTGAATAATTTTAATAAAATTTTAGTGGATTTTAATGGACTAATGAATTGTTTTAATCCATCCATTAGCAATCCAATCCATATCCATCCAATCAATCCATTTTGCCACTCCTAGAGAAAACCGAAGAGAAAGTGAGAGAGAAAAGGAGTGTGATTTAGTTTTGAAAAAAAAAGGGGAGGGGGAATTTTGTTAGGGATCTAATCATCGATAGCCATTTGGCAGCAAGGAAGAGGCTAAGGTTTGATTTATTGTAGTGATTTGTTAATTACCAAAATATCCAAAGTGATGTGTAAAAAAATAATGTTGGAAGGGCAAAACAGTCAAGGCATGCAATTAACCATATAGTTATCTTATAAGTTCTAATCAGTCATTGAATCTAACGGTTCTGACTTACTTTGGTTGATATAATAGTATATAATCGAAAACACTGAATCATTTCTCTCAAGGTTTTTGTCGTCAACATAAACCCTTTCTTTTCCCCCTTTCACGCTTGCACCTTTCCATGGCACCCTCTTCACTACACTAGCAGTTTTTCTTTTGAAAATTCTCCATTCTTCTGCATTTCGCAGAACATGCGTTTTCGTTATGCTCACGCTGTAACTCCATTACTAACCTTCCCTTCAAAACTCTCCACTATGAACGCTCAAACCCTCTCCAATTCCACTCCATTTTCAAACCTCAATAAACCCCTCTTTCGCCGTTTTCAACGTAAAAGAGGATTTTTCACCGTTTATTGTTCTAAGAGCACTTCGAAATACCCTCCGTTGCCGCTTAAAATCAATGGATACCATGCTACTTCTATCGTCAAGGCTACTAGACCAGGTAAGGTTCATAGAATAGAATAACTTTGAATGTTCACTATGTTATGTTGCTGAATTTTTATTGGTTTTTCTTTTTTGATTTGGATAAGTTTATTTGGATGAGAGTGTATTGGAGGCGAATATTGATGCTTTGAAGAGGAAGTTGGAAGCTATTGGAATGGATGCTGAAATTTGTGTTCCTGGCCAACAGTATAATCACTTGATTTGTCCTGAGGTTTTTTTTTCTTTCATCATCACCCTGTTTCTATTTTTTGTTGTTATTATGCAAAGTTGAATAATTTTTTAGGCTTTTTTGAATATAAATTGTAAAAAGGTAGTGTTTTTTAATATATCCTGGAAAGTTCTGCAGTTCTATTTAACTTAGGGCGGTAACTAATAGTCTAATACTCTCTCCTAAAATGACCGTTTAAAGTTTTTGTACATAGACTAAGGAATGCAATATGATTGTCACAGGATATTACACTTTTACTATATTTGCCTCATTAATGTGTTGGAAGTAGTGTACAGCTTAGTAATTAAAGAATATAATTGGAAAAATAACAATTATTTATCCATTGAAAAGTGTGAATGACAATCATTTCGAAACAAATTTTATTTGTTTAAATGATAGTAATTTTGAAACAGAGAGAGAGAGTAATAACTTTGCGTGCTGGTATATCAAAATTGAATATGGTTTCAGTTGAAGACATTTGCTAACCAATTTTAGTTACAAACTAAGTTTGAAGCGGAAGGAATGTGAGCGTTGTTTTTTTGTAAACTCAGTTTGCAAAATGAAGTTGGTTCAAAGTTTATGAAGTATTTACTCCTTGGCATGATAACTGTCCTCAATTTTACATTTTGTTGTTTTTTTTCCTTTGGTCTGAATTTTTGATCTAAAAACAAAATTGTAGCATGCTTTAATTTATTTATTGACATAAAGACATAAAATTGTGTCTTTGTCAATTGTTATGTTTCCAGTTTGGAATTGAGTAGAGGGAGTGGATTATGCTGTCAAAATGACAGTCCCTGAAATTTGATTTGAAAAGTGTGTATTGTTATTTTTTATTTATTACAAATTACAAACAACCTTTTGGAATGTGTCTTGCTGCATGGACTCCTTCATACATTGCAATGCAATTCAAACATGTTATCTGTTTTCATTCTTGTACGTACCTTTTAATATTATTTTTTGTTAGTGCCAAGGCGGTGACACGGGAGAAAGAACCTTTGCCGTTATCATTGCACCAGACGGGTATGTTACTTACCTTTTTTCATCGACTTATCTAGTTCTATTTGTTAGTGATCTTTATTCCACTTTGTGTTAATAACTGAATTTCTGAGCTTAGGGGGTCCGCTGCATGGAAGTGTTTTCGTGCAAAGTGTGGTTGGAAAGGCAGCACTCAGGTTAGATATTTTGTTTTTTAAAATTTTTTTGCACGGGCTGATTGATACAATTGGATGTCTCAGTGTTAGTCACTTCAAGTTTTACCCTTCTGTTGTAGGCCTTTGCTGGTAGAAGTCCATATTCTACAACAATGACTCAATTTATCCCAGCTAAGAAAAAAAGAGAAATTAAGGAGGAGGACTTGCAACTTGAACCACTTTGTGCCGAGGTATTAGATTTCACCATACTTAATTTTGTCCATGTTTTTTTTTTAAAACTATGGATGTGCTCTGCCATTGCTCTGTGGATGAGATATTGCTCATGAGAAAAATCTGTTGCATTTGCTCAATATCTCATCTTATTTCATACATCTGGATGTATGATTCTTTTACAAGAAATAAAGGTTTCTTTTCAAGGGGACTAACACCTATCCTCCTTGCGGACGACTTAGAAATATTTTATTAAGTTTCTTTTGGTGATCAGTCGTTTGTATTTAGTTGTGACCAGTTTGTTTTGGATACATGCAGACTTGAAAATGCATTACTAAAATAGCAAACTCAAATCTGTGGGCCATTTGCTCACTTTCAGACAAGCATTTACTGAATAAAGTTGATATCTGATGTATCTTGCTTTATATATTTTATGCTCACCATGTAGAGTTTCAATTTTAATTATAATAAATTTGATAATTTATTTGTTCATTTCAAGCAATGTAGTGAATACAATTCTGTTTGCCCTATTTCAGCTGGTTGGATATTTTTCAGAGCGCTTGATTTCGAATAAGACTCTGAAGAGAAATGGTGTTAAGCAGAAAAAATATAAGGATGATCAGGTGCATTTAACTACTAAAATTTATGCTTTATTTAAGTTGCATAGAAAGTTACTTTTTAAGATGACAATAATCCAGTTAGTGATCTAGGCTGGTACTGTTATCTAGTCAAAATAAATTGTACATATGATTGATGATACTCAAATTAAGAATATAATATTGTTTATATGAACATCTATCTTCCATGTTTTATTAGTTCTTCTATATTCCTTATTTTTGATTAGTTGATTAGTTGATTGATGATAATCAAGTTAAGAATATAATATTCTTTATATAGACATGTATCATCCATGTTTGATTAGTTGATTTATTTTGTTGAAAGAGAGATCCAAGAACAAACATTCGACGTTTATTTTACTAACTGTGACAGATGTGTAATAATTTTGAATTTGGTAATATGACTGAGACTGGTTGTACCACCTACAAGCTGACAAAATGCTAATATTAAACAATAAGGACTTTACCGTTTAGTATTCACCTGAAAAATATGTGGTTTTATTGATCCACCAGGCGTTAATTTTCCTGGATTTCTATTTATCAGAGATGAGACGTTGAAGATTTTAAATATACTCATCTTATGCTCACTTTACTTTATGAGTGACTCACTGGTGGTATAATTGTTTTCGCAACATTTATTTTGTAGATTGCAATTGCATTCCCCTATCGCCGTAATGGAGCGCTTATTAGTTGCAAGTACCGAGATATCAACAAGAAATTTTGGCAGGTATAAGCAATTGCTGATACTGTCCGTAATTGAATTTAGTATTAAAGTTAATATGTAACATTTAATTATCGTAAAAAAGATGAATTTGCATTTTTATATCTATTTTATTTGTACTTTATTGAAGACGTTCATATGATTCAAAATATTCCCTTCACAACTCTAGTTACACATTTATTCCTTCCATCAACTCTCTTTTGAGGACTACATTATGTTAGCAACGGCTACTGATATGCTTAATAAGCACATGTCTAAATCCATGAAAAGATAAGGGCTCAGTTGACTATTTGTGTGCATATTCATTGAAAAGCCCTTCACGGCTTGATTGAAAATTGCAATGTTAGTTTTAGCCCTGCCACACTCATCCTTGATAAGCAACAAGAACTCCCTTTTTATCTAGAGCCTACATGTCTTTTGTTGGCACTTTATCATATGCCCTTTTCAAATCAAAGAAAACCATTGAATATTTTTGTTTCTTCTGGTACCTCTCCATCAAATTTCACTTAATGTCTATAATATATTGTTACTATTGATGATCTCATTTGATATAAAACCAAACTGTTTTGCTGACATGTGAGACTTTAATCTTAATCGCACTCAAATATTCGATCCCATAATTTATGTTGTTTAACTTTATTATGCTTGAAGATATTGTCATATTGTTGTATATACTCTCAATATTGTCTGTGTTACAACTTTTTTACATCTCTTTCCCCTCATTCTTTTTTCTTCTTTCAGGAATCAGACACTGAAAAGATCTTTTATGGATTGGATGACATAGTTGGAGAAAGTGATGTCATCATTGTATGCATTCCGTTTGCTGCACAAATTATAAAGTTGAAGTTTTGTTTTATTCTTAGTTTTTTGACTGTGTACTTTAGGTTGAAGGTGAAATGGACAAGCTGGCAATGGAAGAAGCTGGCTTCCGAAATTGTGTTAGTGTTCCTGACGGCGCACCTCCATCAGTCTCTTCAAAGGAATTGCCAACTGAGGATAAGGTCTTTTTTATGCTCAACATGCTGGACACACATTTATTTATATAAATTTTAAATTCAATAACATTTTCTTATTTTTCACTTACACCCTGTTTAACTATACTGTGATCTGTTGTGCAATGTTAAATCTGATGCTCTTGTCATAATTATAATTCTGTAAAGCTAGGACACGAAGTATCAGTATCTGTGGAACTGCAAAGATGAACTAAAGCAGGTCTGCAGTTGTTGATATTCCACACTTTTGTATGTATCGGTAAAAACAGTTTTTATAAACATCTCTCATTTTCTCTCTCTATGTTTATATTGGTAGGCATCCCGTATTATCATTGCCACTGATGGGGATCCACCTGGTCAAGCCTTGGCCGAGGAGCTTGCACGCCGCATTGGGAAAGAAAAGTTAGCATGTTTATATCTTGATATAACTACTTCCATAAATTTTCTTACAACTATTTTAGGTCATCCTTGTATTTATGCTTTCATTAGCAGATGATTCCTTTGTTTCAGGATTAGTTTTCATTTTTGTAGAGATGAACTACTTTCGAGTTGCTTGTGTGTTTAGTTCCAATTATTGCTTTTTAAGATAAGGGTGCCCCTGTAAATTTTTTATACTAAGATGATTGTTGTCTAATTTTGGCATTCTTTTGATTCATGGTTATTTGAGAGAATGGATGCTCCCACTATTCTATGCCATTAGTTTATTCATTTATTTTTATTGATGGGAGGAATTAGTCCCCCCTTTATGTAAGTTTATCATTCTCTGTTGATTATACTGTTCTAATGACTAGTAACATTTCTGTTTTGTTTATTTGCAGATGTTGGCGTGTACGGTGGCCTAAAAAAGGGAAGCTTGATGATTGCAAAGATGCAAATGAGGTTAGATCTCAGCATGATTGCGCAAGTTCTACTTTACCTGCACCTTTCCTCTGAACTCCCACCCCACAAATCTGAAATCCCCAAAATATAAAAATGAAAAGGCACATGGAACTTTTTTCTAGAGTTTAGACTTTATACAGAGTACAATATCAACTGACAATGAAGGTGAATGTAATAATTATACAGAATTGTGTTGGTTACTCTTCTTTACCTGCTTTGTGTTTTCAACTGTTCACGGATGATTTGTGAATTTATTATTTACTTGGCTTGTTAATGTGGATTATATTATATTAGAATAGATATTGTATCTTAGGCTGGTATGTAATCAAACTGGCATCTGCCAGTCACCAAGGTTGGTGACCTGCTGTAAAGAGTCACCTTGTTACTCTATAAGTAACAAGGTGCAGCTATTTTGTAACTAACTTGAATCAATAACAAAATTCTGTTATAGAAATGAAATCAGTGATTTACTCTAGCTTAGTTTTTAACATATTAGTAGATAGCATGGATGTCTGAAACATGGGAATGCAGACTTGAAGTTAGAATTAGGCTTACACATTTTCTTTTCTGATGCGTGCCATTTGAAGATGTTTGTTTGTAATTTTGCTTTTTGACAACCGTAGCAATATTATAATACATTCGCAGGTTCTCATGTATTTGGGCCCCGATGCATTGAAGGAAGCGATTGAGAATGCAGAATTATACCCTATACGTGGATTGTTTAACTTTAGAGATTACTTTGATGAGCTTGATGCATATTATCATCGAACTTTGGGATATGACATTGGTCTCTCAACTGGCTGGAATAATCTGAATGGTTTATACAATGTAAGGGCTGTTTATTTAATTTCTACATCTCCTTACTATCATACTAATGTTGTAAGTTGTAGTTGGAAGTGAACACTGAATTTTAATTTCAATTCTGATTAGATTCTAAATTGGTTCAGAATCTTAAATTTTATGTTTGTGTAATGCTAACTTAAATGCACTGTATAGAGCTTCAAACTATTATTTACTAAATGAAAAGTAGGATAATGAGTGGCGTTCTCATTATTTTTTCTTCTATCTTTAAAATGACTAACTACTATGTCATTACCATTTTCGTGCATATCTTCCTATATCTTTTCCAACTAAAACCTTTAGCTTATTATTACCGATCAGAACTCCTACTTTTATTATGCTTCTAAATACTGATAGGATCCGGGATGAGAAGGTGGATTCAAAGACACAGTTAGCACATAAGTTGTCTAGATACAGTGAGTTTGTGAATGGAAGGCGAAAATGATTATTAGTGAGGTGGCTAAATAGGGTTAAATAGATTATTAGTGAGTTGGCTCATTAGGGTTAAATAATGGGATGCTCTCTTTATTTATACATGAGGAGAAAATTTTGGTAGTTTTAAGAATACGATGGAATGATTTGCTAGTAGGGCCAGAGTAGGATTTCTCTCTGGGTTGGAGCTTTGCTTTGTGAGTAGTTAGAGGAATCCTATACGACAAGTATTATATTGGTCTATTATCAAAAAATTATTATTTAAGGTTGTATACGTACTTTTTCACATTTCTTGCTCTAATATCTTGTTTCGGTTAAGGTTCCATTGGTTTGTATCAAATACCCTGTGTAGGAATCAAAGCCCACTGACTAAATTAACTCAGGATATTGGACATGAACTGGCTCTATAAAGCATATTTTTGAATCCTACTATTACTTGAACTTGAAGCTTTTGTATAAGTAGACCTGTGAATCTGTCATTTCTTGGGAATCATGTGTCTCAGAATTTGGGTTGGGCCTAACTCATCCCTACAAAACCGGTTTGTAAGGTGAGAATTTCCCCCATTTATAAACACAACACATGCCATATCTCTAAGCTATATGGGACTAAAACCACCCCTGCAAAGCTAACACAATGAATGTGTTAGGGGTTGCAATGAGGCAAGCCAAAGAGCAGCAATTAAGGCGGCTAGGGGCGGATTGCAATTAAGGCGGAAAGTCCAACACACCCCGTCACGCTTGGGCCTCAATGAGCCCAAAGCGTGGACGATGCGGGAAGCCCAACAATAGATCTAGGATAGGCTCTCATACTATCTCAGAATTTGGGTTGGGCCTAACTCATCCCTACAAAACCGGCTTGTAAGGTGAGGATTGTCCCCATTTATAAACACAACAATGACCATATCTCTAAGCAATGTGGGACTAAATCCACCCCTTCAAAGCTAAGACAAAAGGTGTTAGGGGCTGCAACGAGGCAAGCCAAAGTGCCGCAATTAAGGCGACTAGGGGCGGACTGCAATTAAGGCGGAAAGTCCAACACTGTGAATCTGTCAATTCTTGTAACCTTTTGTATGCACTGATTTTGCGGTAGGAAAACATTCTTTCAACTGTCAACAAGCTGGATAAAATGTCATTCTGAATGCTTAGTGAATTCACTACACATCAAAGGTGTTGTGTGTTATGAATTGTGATTTGATTTAATTGTAATCTGATTTCGAGCTCGTATATTCGGCAGGATATTATATCATATGTGCATTTAATTGTAAATTACTTTTCAGTTCCTTGCCTTTTTTTTTCCCATACAATATCTTGAATTTATAAAAAATGATACACTTTTTGAAATTGTTTATGTTACTAAAATTTGTTCTTGGCCGTGTCATTTTAATGATTTCATCTACAGTCAAATATAAACTACCAAGCTTTCACACCGTGGGGATATGTGATTTGATCGATTTGAATTTTGAATGATTTTATCAAAATTATTCTGGAAACATATATATATTTTTTCTAATTAAATTACCTTCACCAGGTTGTACCAGGAGAACTGACCGTAGTAACCGGAGTTCCCAATTCAGGGAAGAGTGAGTGGATTGATGCTCTTCTTTGCAATCTTAATAAAATTGCTGGCTGGAAATTTGCACTTTGTTCCATGGAGAACAAGGTCAGTAGATAGTTTTTGGCCAACTTTTAAATTTATCTTATTCACCAAAGAAAGTGTCTTTGTAACTTTTAACTGGAACAAAATATGTTTGAGGCTTTCTGATACACATACACAAGTGCTTTATTTAAATTATTTGTTTCTGATATGCTTCTACTAACTAAATGATGAAAGGATGTTGTGGGGTTAGGTACACCAGAAAGGCTGGAGGCAAGTCCATGATTGTTTCCATGGATATATGCCCCAAAGAATATATCTGTTCTTCGGACATGTTAGAAGAGATAAATAAATATAAAAAAATGACTGTTTGTCTGAACTGGTTCCTTAACATAGATAAATGACTGTTAGAAAATGCTAAACCAAGTGGTCAAGATTGTTAACTACCACCCACATTCTTTGACTACAAAACAACATCACAACAAGGAACTGCGAGCTTGTGCTTTACTCACACTTGAAGCTCAAATGACTGTTTGCAAGAAAGGTTTAATTTTAGGGTTGTCTATTTTTCAAATTTCCAGACGTACCAGAAACCTCTGACATCTGTTTTTTTTTCTTCTAAAATATTCTTTATTCTCTTAGCTTGTTATTGGCGGATGTCTTGTCATATAGCATATATCATACATACCCATATATATCATACATACCCATATATATCTTATGTATGTATTCCATAGTTTGATCTGTAACAACTGACCTTCAACAGGGAATGTTGAGCGTATTGGATTACTGTTTCAGTGTTGATTGGCTACTTGTATTCTTTAAGATTCTGATTTAATGTCAGTTGTTGTAGGTTGAACAGAGTTAAATTAGAATTGTCATCCACTGTGTGTTTAGTTCTTCTATATTGTTATGCAAACAATGAATGACTTTGGTTATGGTTATTTTTGAATAATTATTGCCTCATATATTTGTTGGATTTTGTGCTTTTGTTTTGATTCTTTTTTACTGCCTTTAGGTTAGAGAACATGCTCGGAAGCTTTTGGAGAAACATGTGAGGAAGCCTTTCTTTAATGATCGGTAAGATTTGAACTGTGACTTTTATTATATTATCACTCACTATTTTTGTCGGGACTTTTTTTTATTTAATATTTTGTTTTATTATCGTCTTAGATTTTGAGTGCTGGATGTCTACTCCTATCTATCAAAAGGAGGTTTTCTTACTCACAAGAAAAATTTCTTTGGGTCCCTCTAACCTATAAAATAGTTGTTTGAGTTTTCTCTTAAAGGATTATAATGAGCTACTATTTAGTGTTTGTTGCTATCATCCAATTTCTAATTCATAACCTTGCTAGTGTACTTTTGTTGTACCAAGACCCTTATATCAAGGAGTATTTGACTGTTCTTTAATTGCAATTGTTGTGTTTGTTATTATGTACAGTTATTTGATTGTCTATGTTCACTTGTTTATCTAAAATAGCTACGCTGAAGACGTTGAACGGATGAGTTTGGAGGAATATGAACAAGGCAAGATCTGGTTAAATGATACTTTTCATCTTATAAGGTATGTCCATTACAAGTAGCTCGATTGGTGGTAGTGCTGTATCATATTTTTACGTTTTCTGACTGCACGGAGATAATTTAATCATCTATTCATGTTTGTGTTGCTTCACCCCCCATTCATTTTCAGCTTGATTGGTATTATCATTTTTACATTTGTAAAGTTGATTTAATATTTATCACACACGTGTCCTTTTTTCCCTCTTATCTTTCAATTTTTTCCATCTTATCTTTCAAAAAAATTGATTGATATTGTGACTTAAAAGTAGGCCGTGTCAGAATTTATTGCATTAATTAAGCAATGCTTATTGAGACTATCTATTACTTTTTGGCAATTCATATGATTAAACTTGTACTTTTTAGTTTTAAATCTAACTCGTACTGATGGTTTAGTGCTTCACTAATTGATTGTTCATACTAGGTGTGAAGATGATGCTCTTCCAAATATAAAATGGGTACTTGACCTTGCAAAAGCAGCGGTATTAAGACATGGGGTGCGTGGGCTTGTAATTGATCCTTATAACGAGCTTGATCATCAACGATCTCCACACCAGTAATTCTCTTTACAGAGTTCATTCTTAACTTCGATTTATTTTGCTTTTGTTATGTCATACTCCTCAGAAGAATGCTTAAAGTTGTCGAGGGGATTTCTCTCAGCTCCTATGAATTTGTATAAAAGGATTCCAATTCAACTTTCATTAAAATTGAAATCCCCAATGAAGTATAACTCCCAAATTGCAGGGATAAGAAATAAGGATTATCTTCTCTTACACCAATTGTCCCCTTCAAGCAGATGCGTAATTATATATAAATCAAGCTTGTTAAATATGTCTATTATACTTTGTTGAGATCCCATATTAATTAAGATGTGGCCAAACTAATCAATACAACACCTAATCAATCCTTACTTTTCATGCTGACTTTTGTTGTTATGTTAGAGTATTTTTTAGGTATTAATTCAACATATTGCATATCTATAGAAAACTTTATTGCATCAACAACTTGCAGGACGGAAACTGAATATGTGAGCCACATGCTTACCTTAATCAAACGTTTTGCTCAACATCATGGATGTCATGTTTGGTTTGTAGCACATCCCAGACAGGTTGGTAAATACGATATTAGTTTATCTATTGCTGTATTACTTTTAAAAATTTGTTATCTTGATTTTCTTGCTTCTCATCTCATAGCTCTATAATTGGACTGGGAGTCCTCCTAATCTTTATGATATAAGCGGAAGTGCACACTTTATAAATAAGTGTGACAATGGAATTGTCATCCATCGTAACCGGGATCCTGAGGTTGGGCCTGTTGATCAAGTGAAGGCGAGTGTTTGTAATGTCATTGTTTATATTTTTTGGCGATCATTTATCATTTTAATTTATTAAAAAATTATATGCTTTTCCTGACTTGCCGTTGTTTCAGGTTTGTGTTCGAAAGGTACGGAATAAGGTTGCAGGGACAATAGGTGAAGCAGTTTTGTTGTATAACAGGTATGGAGACTCTTGCCCTTGATTATTGTTCTGCATGTATTCATTTATGGTTTTGTAGAATACATGTCATTTATGATCATTTATTTTGAAACTTTTAATTATGAGTGATGTGTTACAAATTTACTTTCTCAGGGTAACTGGCGAGTATGTGGAAGATGATACTGAGTACGTGAGAGATGATACTAAGAGATAGTAGTCACACAAATCATTTTTGGCAGGCTTATATACGGGCGGCTTGTAGGTGTTGAATTGAAGTTATCATCACCTCTAAACATAACTAAAATGTTTCCATTTTGAGGTGCTGGATGAATATCAAGAGTGGTAAATAATAACCACATATCACGGGTAGTGAAATTTGACTGTATAATATCACAATTTTAGCTTTTGATTATTTGTATCATGTAGTTGTCCTTTTATAGGTGTTAGTGTTACAAACTAAAGTTATGCATTTGCATCCTTGTATATAGTATAGGATTTTTCTTCTTTGCAGACTCTTCAATCTCAAATCATTGAACTTTATTGTGTACGGTAGCTGTTGATTTGGTCTACTGGGCAAAACTCAGTTAATGTTATTGATGGTTAATTCTATAAATAATACTAAATATCAGTGAAGTAGTGATATTTGCATGTTTCAAGTGTGACATGTTAAGAAATACAACTGATTGGTTATCAAATTGAAGTTTCAATTTTGAATTGAGAGTTTCTTTGAATTGTGACTCTCCTTATTACGGATCGTTAGATATACAAAAACCTTATGACTACAGGAGTCTAATGCTGCTGTGTGTTATACGTAGTTACTCCAAGGTTCCAAGAATGATTCTAATGCTTTTGTTTCCTTGCTATATTTTGAACTATATTTTATTTTAATTTAGATATAGTTCAAAAGTTTTATAATATAATATTTATTATATCAAATTTAAATGTGAATTCATGATATAATTTTAGAATAATTTTTAATATTTTCAAATCAATCATATTTATATATGCATCTATATTTCATACCTTATTCCGTGCATTATTTTCAACGTTCCTGTAAGTTTCTCCTGCTATAATCTTTGGTTATATTCTTAAGAAGGTGGGATCAGGTCCCCACACTTTTTTTTTGTGGGAGGATCCTTGAGTAAGGACCTTTCTCTCTCAAGAAAATGTTTTTTTTTTTGGAGGATCCTTGAGTAAGGACCTTTCTCTCTCAAGAAAATGTTTCGTTTCTTGGTCTTTCTTAAATTCTGCTTAACAAGCGGATTTGGTGGGAGAGATTGGCTGGATGAAGAATGAGAATCTTGGTTGGGATCTTAAGTTGAGGAAAACCTTTTTTCTACGCCAGTTACATGTGTGGTTGATACCTTTCTTTTTACGTTCCGTAGTTCTATTCTCACATAGGACAAAGATAAGTAGAGTGAAATCATACATGAAATGATGTTTTCTCTACCGCCTTTCCTTACCATATTTAGCTAGACCTTCTTATCTTTTTTTTTATCATTTGAGCTAATTAAGAATTCGCCATTACTCTAATCTGGATTAGGTGGACTCCTTTTTAAGATGGTAGTCTTTTTTTTAGCAGCTTGTGCAAGATATAATTCTTTATACGGAAAACCTGTTCAAGAGGGGTAATGGGATTGCATGTCCCTTGTGTGGTGGTATGGTTGAGTTGGTTTTCTATCTCTTTGTCATTTGTGAGTAAGCATTGCTAGTTTGGTATATGATCTTTTATTGGTTAGGTTGGCAAGTGGTTATTCCTAGTGACAATAGACTTTTATTAAGTAGCAGGGTTAAATCTAGGTGTGGTTTTGCTATAATTTGACATTATGTTGTCTAATATATTTGAATGGTTTATAATGATGATATTTTTAATGTTGTCTCAACAATTATGAAAGAAGTTGAGGATAAAAGTATTTTTTTTTTTTGACCTAAAGAGTTTTTAGATAGAACATAGGTGAACTTGTACGCTTTCTGTAACGGACTCTAGAATCCTATCATCTGCCTAAACAACATCAGATCAAGAGTTTGTATTGATTCTAAGGTTGGTAGTGGGTTGTGGTTCTCTTTTGTTGTCCTTTGATTTGTTGATGGTGGTCTTGGTAGTTCGAGATCTAGCTTGAACCTAATGGTCGAGGTTTCTAGTTGCTCGAGTGTTTTCTCTATGAAATCCTTTTGAAATTTTAGTAGTTTTAATTTTTTTGTCTGTTTATTGTTTTTGCTTGTTTGTTTGTTGTATCTTCTATTTTTCTTAAAGGAGGCTTGCTTAGCACTTCTTATGCTATCAGTTACTTCTTTTATGTAATTTGGTGATTTTTCACCTCCTTATTAATATATTGTTTTTTCTTTCACAAAAAAATAATCTAAAACACTATGATTTTGCTATAGTTTAACATTATGTTATCTAATCTATTTAGATGGTTCGTAATGATGATATCTTTAATGGTGTCTCAACAATTACGAAAGAAGTGGAAGAGAAAAATACTTGTTTTTGGTCTAAAAATAATTTTTAGATAGAGCAGAGGTGGACTTGTGTGCCTTTTCTGACTGACTTCAGAACCCTATCATCTTCTTAAACAAAAACGAATCAAGAGGTTGACTTAATTCTAAGGATGATAGTGGGTTGTGGTTCTCTTTTGTTGTCCTCTAGTCTGGTGATGGTGGTCCTGGTAGCCTGAATCCCATGGGCGAGGTTTCTAGTTGCTCTAGTGTTTTCCCTATGAAATCCTTCTGGATTTTTAGTAGTTCTAATGTTTTGTTTGCTTTTTGTTTTTGCTTGTTTTCTTATTGTATCTTTTATTTTTTTAAAAGGAGACTTGCTTAGTATTCCTTGTGTTATCCGTTCTTTTCTGTAATTTGGTAATTTTCCACCTCTTTATTAATATATTATTCTTTCTTTCACAAAAAAATCTAACACATTATACAGTTTTACTATAATTTGATATTATGTTGTCTAATCTATTTAGGTGGTTTGTAATGATGATATCTTAAATGGCGTCCCAACAACTATGAAAGAAGTGGAGGAGAAAAATACTTTTTTTGGCCTAAAAATGCGTTTTCCGTGGAGTAAAGGTGGACTTGTTTGCTTTCTCTGACTAACTTCAAAATTCTATCATCTGCCTAAACCAACAACTGAACAACATACCGAGAGTTTATCTTGATTCTAAGGTTGATGGTGGGTTGTGGTTCTCTTTTGTTGTCCCCTGATTTGTTGCTGGTGCTCCTGGTAGTTTGAGATCTAGCCTGGATTATATGGGTGAGGTTTTTCGTTGCTCGAGTGTTTTCTCTATTAAATCCTTCTGGATTTTTAATGGTTCAAATGTTTTGTCTGTTTTTTTTCCTTTTGCTTGTTTGCTTGGTACAACTTTTATTTTTCTTAAAGGAGGCTTGCTTTGCACTCCTTGTGTTATCAATTACTTCTTTTATGTAATTTGATAATTTTTTACCTCCTTACTAATATAATATTTTTTCTTTACAAAAAAATTCAATACGCTATATGGTTTTGATATAATTTGACATTATGTTCTCTAACTATTTAGATGGTTCATATGATGATATATTAAATGGTGTCCCACCAAATATGAAAGAAGAGGAGGAGAAAAGTACTTTTTTAGTCTAAACAAGGTTTTTAGGTAGAGCAGAGGTGAACTTGTGCGCTTTTTCTGATTGACTTAAGAACCCTATCACCTGCCTAAAGCAACAACAGATTAAGAGTTTATCTTAATTCTAAGGTTGGTAGTGGGTTGTAATTCTATTTTGTTGTCCTCTGATATGTTAATGGTGGTTCTGGTAGTCTGAGATCTAGCCTAAACCCTATAGGTGAGGTTTCTATTTGCTCGAGTGTTTTCTCTATGAAATTCTCCTGGATTTTTTTTGTAGTTCTAATGTTTTGTCTGTTTTTTGTTTTTGCTTGTTTGCTTGTTGTATCTTTTATTTTTCTTAAAGGAGGAATCTTATCACTCCTTGTGTTATCAGTTACTTCTTTTCTGTAATTTGGTGATTTTTCACATCCTTATTAATATATTAGTTTTTCTTTCACAAAAAAATCTAATACACTTTATATTATTGCTATAAATTAATATTATGTTGTCTTATCTATTTGGATGGTTCTTAATTATGATAACTTTAATGGTGTCTCAACAACTATGAAATAAATGGAAGAGAAAAATACCTTCTTCTTTTTTTTTTTTTGCCTAAACACAAGTTTTTAGGTAGAGAAGAGGTGAACTCATGCACTTTTTATGACTGACTTCAGAACCCTATCATGTGCCTAAACCAACATCGAATATAGAATTTGTCTTGATTCTAAGGTTGGTAGTGGATTGTGGTTCTCTTTTGTTGTCTTCTGATCTGTTGATGGTGGTCCTGGTAGTCTGAGATCTAGCCCGAACCCTATGGGCGAGGTTTCTAGTTGCTCGAGTGTTTTCTCTATGAAGTCCATTTGGAATTTTAGTAGTTCTAATTTTTTTTGTTTGCTCGTTGTATCTTTTATTTTTTTCTAAAGGAGACTTGCTTAACACTCCTTATGTTATCAGTTACTTCTTTTCTGTAATTTGGTGATTTCTCACCTTTTTATTAATATATTTAATCTTTCTTTCAAAAAAAAAACTAATACATTCTGATCTAACCTGATTAGAAGGGAATCACTGGACTGCCACGCGTCTTTGACTTACTGCCTGTTCACCGGTGGTAAGAAGAAGGAGAGGGGTGTACCTGCAAGACACTCCGATGCCAAAGTAAGGAATTGGATAAAGTGAGAGCAAATACAGAAAGTAGGATGAGAATTGAATACCTGACCCTCTTGTGAAAGAGAGTATTTATAGGGAGACCTCAGCGCAGGGCCAACGATCATTTGAGTTGGGCTGGATGGTCAAGCCCAACCCAAGTGACTGTTAGGACTTACATGGCGTAGTGAAGACCAGAATGTGGTCTTCGTCCTAGTTCAACTGCTCTGTGAACTCCGAAGAGTGGGTTGACCTGTTCTTCCGGAGGTGGACAATTGGTTGATGACGTGTCCCCGCGGAGGGGAGCACGTGGAGAACGTGTGAGGTACACGTCTTTCTGCCCAACGGGAGAAGCGTCCTGCCCGACGGGGTAATGTCTGGTCGACGAGAGCCTCGTGCTCGACACAGATGAGGGGGACTCATTTGGGCCTTTCACCAAGTATAAGTGGGCTGGGCCTTCCCGGTCAAGCGGGGGCCCAAGCCAGAACACATT